ATATCCAAGAAGTTAATAGAATTCAAACGCATTGATTCTTGATCTCAAGTCAAACCCAAAATGTTCTTAGATTATTGAGATGAACAAAGCACGTGAGAAGGGCACCTGGAAACGCCCAATGTGTCTCCTCGGTCTCTACAGCTGCATTGGCATCAGACCCATTTTATTTCTTCTTACAGACACTCCCAGGTCAATAAAATACACATTGACCTCGGCTGAGTCTATGATCTCCCTGGAAGGAAGGACCTAACTCAAAAGGAAGTTGAGCAAGGCCCCAGCATCAAGCATAATAAGAGATGAAGTACATCAAACAAGGCAAGACAAGATGGACACAATACCTTTATTTTATTTATTTATTGTTTTAATGTGGTGGGAGGCAGTTAGCCACGCTCGGGACCAGGTGCCTCCACAGAGTCTGGTTTCAATAGGTACAAGATAGGCAGTGACCAGAACCCAGCAGGCCTAGTGTCCTCAGTAGACAGCTCACACGTGCATACCCATGGCAAGACTTTGGCCCACACGACACAACACAAGAATAACCACCACCAAGTAACTCACCACCACACCCCTCAAGCCCTGTTTTACATAAATTGCTTTTTTTTTTTTTTTAATCAAGGGAACTTTCAATAAGGAGTTTCCAGGTAACCAAGGGTTCTGGGATCACGAGAGCAATGCCTGATTCCCTGGGTGTGATCACATGGCATTGAGCCATTACTTCACACACTTCCTACTCACATCCTCCATCCCAATGTTACCTCTCCAGAGACTTTTGAGTCCCCTTCTAAGTACATCAGATAGATCCTCAGAAGCTTTACTGGTGCCTGAGAAATTCAAGTATCAGCTTTACTAGAGGTTAGCCATTTTCAGTTATTGGAAAAGTGGTTTTGCTCTCCCCCCAATCAATGAATTGCTATTGACGTACATGTTTCTCTGACACACACAATAAACCAGCATTTGGCAGTGATTTAAACAAGCCAACAGGGCCAGCCTCCTGTTGGAACTAAGCTGTGGGAGCCAGAACAAGTCAGATTTAAAGTTACAACAAGTTACCCCTACTAGGAATACAAGGGCTGCTCTAGATTCATATGTTTTGCTTCTTCTGTCCCTTATTTCTTCAGCTTCATGCATCTCCTCTCTTCACCTCTCCTTTAAATGCAGACTGATTATATATTTGCCTTTATATCCCAGCTAAAGTGCTTTATGTGTTGCTTTAAAATTAGATTTGGGCAGCGCTTGCCCTCTAACTCAATAATACCACAGAAATCATAAACTATAATCCAAGCGAGGTGTATATCGTGGATGATGTTCTATTCCATATGCATAAGAGCTCCGTGCGTGCAAATGCAGCTAGCCATTCTGTCTGGAAAAGCTCGTGATGAGTCATATAGATCCAGCCCACTGAACACCAGCTCAGGCCAGCAGCTCTCCCTGCTGCATAGCAACAGCCTACCACGATGCTTATCGGGGGTTTTTCCCTTGGAGCTTGGCTTAATATCTACTTATCAAGTAGAAAAAAATCATTTTGGAACTATTTTCAGAGCAAGTACAAAGACATCCATAAGGATATATTAGCTGCATTACTTTTACCCAATGAAATAAATAAATCTCTCACCCTACAATAAACTTAGCAGGTAGGAGGGCAAGCAGCCTCTCAAACCGGCCTCCTTGGAGGAAACAGCATGTAAATATACTAACAACCAGGGGATATGGAAGAATTCAGAATAAAGCAGGTCTACCAGGGACCCCTCACCACCACCATCTACAATGACTCGTTCAAAGGGTCAAAAGTATTTTTTAGTATGTTGTTTCAGAAAATTTTAATATCCAGCAAGTGCAGATCACAGGTGGGCTCCAGCCCTGGATAATCAACTAGTCATCTCCACTTGGACAACCCCAAGAGCCCCAATTCTCCATGTCCAAGTCAGAACCCGTCACCTACCCTCCTACTTTTATATTTCTGATCTCAATTAATGAGGTCACTAGCCATCCAGGCATCCACATCAGAAACCCATGCTTATCTTGGAATCCTATCTCTCCCTCGACGTCTCCTACTCCTTCCAAATCTCTACATCCTGGAGATGTCACTGAGCTCACCCCTTCACATCAGTCTCAACCCCACAGCCCCTGTTTTAATTTGCAGCTTCTTCATTTTTCTACTGATTCTTCCGATGACCTCCTAACTACTCTCCCTCCATAGCAAGTCCTCTACCTCCAACCTAAATAAGTTTTGCCACAATAATCTTCATGAAAAATCCTGGTCATGGTGCTCTGTTCATTAAAACCCCTTGGTGGCTTCCCAGGGATAAGTTCAAAGTCCAAAGTAGGGTACACAAGGCCCTCCACAATCCAACCTCAGGTCCCCCCCAGGCATCACCTTGAACTGTTTTTTCTGGTGATAGGAGCCACTTGGAGTTCCCGAGCCCCCTGGCCTGTCTCCCATCTGGAACCTCTGTTTGGGCTGCTCCTTCTGATTGGAATGTCTTCTGCCTTTCTGCCCCAGCAAAATATACACATTATATGGACATCCCCCTTCTACACAACCTGTCCTCAACCCCACTCTGAAAGAAGAACCAGGAGGCTGGGGATATAGCTCAGTTGGTAGAGGGCTTGCCTCGCATGCACAAGGCCCTGGGTTCAATCTCCAGCACCACAACAATAAATAAATAAATTTTAAAAAATAAATAAAAGAAGAACTAGGAATCCCGTCTCTTAGGCGCCTGGTCATGCTTATATAGCAGCATCCAAAACTTGACTGCACTAATTAGATCTCAGGGGGCAAGAACTGCATCTACAACAAGCCCAGAAGTGCTTCCAGATGCAGGCTAGGAAACTGATTAATATTTGTTAATGACTGAATGTCTCCATGACAGTATTTTAAGAGTCATTCCAAACTGTTTTCTTTCTTTGGGCTGCTTATGATGTGGAACTGCCTCTTATTCTACTTTTAAATCACTTTCAGAGAACCAAAATAAATAAATAAATAAATCAGTACAAGAGATAAATCACTTCCTATCCCCCAAGAAATCATTTCTTTGTTCTTGACTCCTGAAAGAAGAGTCATGCTTGAAGCGCTTGCACAGCGAATGATAGTGAGAAACTATCAAAATGATTTGTTCCAAATCCTTTCCGGCGCCCCAGGTTTTCAATGCCCTCACCCTGGAAGTGATTATATGAGTCACACACAGGGTAGAGACACTACCCTGTTAAATTAAAGCAGAGTGTCCGTGGCATAAACCAAGACTGGCTTATAATACCTGCATCCATGACTCCTGGGATGTGGATGGAAAATAACATTAAGAATAGAAATTGACTTCCTCGGTGTTTTTACTTCTAAGCCCACAAGGGAGCCACATAAAAACAAAGGTGCCACCCTCAGTTCAGCAGTAGATGCCCCGTGCCCAAAGCCAAACCCTTGAAAGGCCCTGGGGCTACCCACAAGTCTTTCTAAAATGCCAAATATCTACAACTTCATGGCACCAGCGGATCATTTCTCTGAGCACTGATTTCATATTGGAAGATGGGCAATTTAAATAAATGTTTCATTAACATAGTGTTTTCCTGCTTGATGCTAATGTTCTTAATTTGTTTTTCCAGACTCCCTTCCAGAGAATCATTTCCTGTGATGCCTCTCAGGACAATCTGAAACTCTTTGGGTCCCTAATAGACAATTCAGAGAACCTAGAAACCAACCAAACAACCAAACAAATAAGCAAAAACCCTGACACTGAAAAGCTACTGAGACCCATTTGTCCTGAAATACACATCAGAAATGCTCTGGGTTCTTGTTTGAGTCACACAAAGGTCAGAACAGGATGGACCGTCCTGACCACCTCCGTGGTGCTGGGTTTGGACAGATGGTGGTGAAGCATTGTTCAGTGGGGCACGATGGTCCCAGAACATGAGTGAGGCACGGCTTCTGCAGGAAGAATGCAGAATGTCTGACATTTTGTTTTCAGGCCCTAGAAGGCTTGCTCCCGCTCTGCTGTGTTTATCTGTACCAGGACTCTTGCTAGGTTGTGATTCCAAACCCCAAAAATTTCAAGGATATTTCGAACATCTTTTATTAATAGCAACACAAAAATTTCCAGAGCTCACTGTTCAGATAAATGCCAGACAAGTAAAAGCAGGTGCCATATAAGGGCTCATTCCCCCAAACTTGGTGAGACAATGGCTCGATTCTAATGCGGTGGGGAGAAACGCCCGAGCACAACACTAAAGCGTGGATCCGTCCACATCAGAATAGATTGTGTGCACATTTTCTAGAGGGGGAGACGGGATTTTGATTCGGTCTTATTATACATGGAAGCAAAACTAAAACTCAATGAAGAGGTGAAGCACATAGGCAATCAACACTGGACTCTTCTGGGTGTCCCGTGCCATGTCTGTGGCAGAGAGGAGGAAAACACCATCCCAAAGCCCAGAACCAGCTCTGCCACAAGGGAACTGCACAGAAAGAGGCTTTGGATGTGGGTCTTTGTTTTGTGAGCTTCATCTCCCTCTTATAAAAGAAAGCCAATGTAACAGCAATCATAATGGTGCTCAGAGCAGGGGTGGCGGCAGCTTCCCTTCCTGGGGCACTTCCTGTGCAGCAGGGCTGAGGTCAGCGCTTTGCACACACCTGGCAAGCGCCTGGTCACTCTCCCCTTTCCACACCCTGCAGTGGAGAGGAGGTGAACTCCACTGCACAGAGGGGATGCTGTTATTCAGGAACTGGTCACTCAGCCAGAATGAATGGCAGGCTCTCCTTTCAAGTCTGCCTGACATCTGGGCTCTGTGGAAAGGCTAACTACCTCCAATGGCTGCCGGTGGATTTTATTAGACAGACCAGATCTAAGTGGAAAGGGCTTGGGAAGTGCTGTGTGAGTGTCAGTCATCATCTGCAGAGGCCTCCGGCCAGCAGCCAGTGGCCCCTCTGACCTCTGGGAAGCCCAGCCTGGCAGGCAGGAGGAAGGACACGGGGCCAGCGTGGGAGGAGGGCCAGGCGGCCTCCTGACACTTACTTTCTCAGCACGGCGATCTCATTCTCTATACTGCTTTCCTTGCCCTTCAGCGCCTTCTTAGGGATGCACTTCACTGCGAAGAGTTTTCCAGTTGCCTTCTCTTCGGCTAAAACCACTTCAGAAAAAGCCCCACTGTGAATAGAGAGAGAGAGAAAAAGAAGACTTAAGAGTCCAGAATTCTAGTTTTGCGGCTGCTCCTCTGATCCTATCTCCAAAGTCTGGGTAAGGACAGCAATAGGTCTGATCGCAGGCCTTACAGCTGCTGCTTATCCAGCACGGCTCCTTACAAACATCCCCGTGCAAAGAAAAACCCAGACAAGTGTGTCCTCCCACAAATGGACAGTGGATGTTGACACAGGTTTGGACCAAAGGGACACCGCAGGATGACCTAGGTTGGCCATCTGCAGGGCCACCTGCACAAAGGGGTGACAGCATTCCCCTGGAGCCAACAGGAAGAGTCCTGGGGCAGGATCCTCCTGCAGAGAAAGACCGGGTCTATCTGCATTTGTCAGCCCCTCTCACCTCCACACAGACTAGAAAGTCCTACTGAAATTCCCAGATTCCCCACAGGAAGGTTTCAGAGCGCTTCACAAACATTGAATTAATTCTTGCAGATAGGTAACGATGTAATTACAGTGTGAGTCGGTGCAACACGTGGTATTGACACGGGGTTAATTAATCGGTAGGGGTAGGCAAGTTTTCATTAAGCAGCTTATTTCCTTCTCAAACCAAACAAACAAATAAGGACCACACAGTGGGGAAGACGTGCCTGCCTGAAAATATAAATTTAACTCTGTTAGGACACAGCCACACACTGGAACCAAGATGTCTGGAACCAGAAAGCCTGTCTCTCTCCCCAGAGGTGCCACACCCGGGCTGGGGCCAGAGGCCCCAAGAACTGAGACACACAGACAGCCTCCTCCACCGTCTCCAGATTCAGGGACTGGGTTCACAGTACACTAGCCAGGGAAACCCCATGACATACTGAGCTGTTCTCCGTTCCCCAACTTCAGGAGCATCTCTGAGTTCCTCGAGAGATGCTAAAGATGTCTTCTACACAACCACGACTAGAGACAAACTCTGCTGCATCGATAGAAACCACCAGAAGCATCCATGTGGCCCCAAGGCTTTGGGGCTGCATTCTTCAGTCAAGAGCAAAGTGTTGGCTCAGCCAGGAGGATGTACCTGCCCTCGCTCTCCTTCCCCATCTGACAGGACCCAAGAAGACAAACACATAATTTAAAAATCCCTTCCAGAGAGAGGAATTCCCGTCCAGTTGGTGCACCCGACTGTGGGTCCTCGGGACACAGATCCTACTGGAATGCTAACTCTCAGGACAGAATTCCATCTGTCTTTAAGGCTGGAATCCAATTACACAAACCTGAGGGGCAGAATATGGTCCATCCACAAAATACTCACAGGGAAAATGTCAGAACAAGGACCTTCTGCCCAAATCCATAAATTATTAGCAAGTAGGATTCTCCCCTCAGAAGACTGAGCCTTCTGGAACCAGCCAGAACAATAATCATTAAATATTAAGACATTAAAATCCCACAACGGTGATGGAGGAAATCAAACTGCGCTGATAATACTTGGTCACTGCCAGTGGCTTTGGCCCAAGAAAACCAGTTCAGAACAATATCGGAGACTTGCCCTGAGCGCAGGACCCCTGCCTCCCTCTGCTCTAACTGAGGGGCTTCACCTCACAGAGGGCCCCTGGATGGAAGAAGACCCTTAACTTTGGAGTAGGTACGTGCTTCCTTCCCCCATCCCCCAGAAGGTGGAACAAGGAGTGTAATGGGGAGAAACATCAGGGCTCAAGCACCCTGGGTGACTCTGTGCCAGATATCCCACTCATTCCCCTTCAGTTTCCACCTGAGTCCCTAACTCTGGGCTGCTGCAGGGAGCTGGAGCAGGGTGATACAGTGGTGTCCCTAACTGTGGGAAGGAGGGACTGTTTGTGATCCTGGGCACAGATAGGTACAGGAGTCCCCAGCTTGACAATCCTGAGCCAGCCAATGAGGCATCTGTGGAAGGGCTCGGAGAAGGCTGAAGACAGACAAAGAATCCCCAGCCACAGTTACCAAGTCATGCCGCAAAGCCAAGGATATAGTTGTCCCATCATCTCAGAATGAAGGCTAGCCTGCATTTGCAATCCCAGAGACATCCCCAGAAGAAAGGAAAGCAGGGACCTGGACAGAGATTTGCACACCCACATTCACGGCACTATTTACAGCAGCTAAAAGGTAGAAACCATCCAAGTGCCCACTGACGTGGTCAACACACACAATGGACTATTACCCTTAAAAAGGAAATTCTGACACATGCTGAAATATGGATGAACCTTGAGGATGTGGGCTCGTTGAAATAAGCTGGTCACAAATAGACAAATGCTATATGGTCCCACTTATGCAAGATCTTTAGTTGAGTAAAATCCATAGAGACAGAAAATAGAACAGTGGTTGCTGGAGGGAAGGGAGAGGGACAGTTATTGTACAGTGGGGACAGAGTTTCTGTTTGGGAAAATGAAAAAGTTCTGAAGACGGACGGTGGTGATGGCTACAAAATATCATGAATGTACTTGAGGCCACTGAACTGTAATTTTAAAATGTAAAAGTCTATGGTATGCCATCTGACCAAAATAAAAAAATAAAAATAGAATGTCTGCCCACTTTTTTTTTTTTATTTCCACTCAATGGCTTTCCTTGAGAAGAGAGACCACTGGAAAAGTTAGATAACCCTTTTCACTCATTACTTCCCTAGAGGGAAGAGGAATCATGGGAATGATCACAGGGTACCAGATGGCATGTACCACTTGACATTTACCAAGGGCTCTGGCATCTATCAACTAACCCAGTCCTGACAACCCCACCGAGTACAGTGCACAAGTGGAAGCTACTGTCCCTCCATGTCAGACAGGAGAGCACTGAGCTCAGTCACAGAGGGAGTGCAGAGCAGAAAATAAACCCTCTGAGGTCCTTCTCAATACAGAATGCGGGGCTAATGCTCTCTGCACCAGGCGGCCACCTCAGGAGTCTGAAGGTGACAGTGTCCGGGTCAGGCCCTCTGGCTGGGGCCCTGCCTTCACTCGCAAGCTGCAGGTCCACTCACTTTCTTATTTAGCCAAACGAAGTGAGTTCATCTTCCCTAAGACTTCCAAAGACAGAGCTCAGGTCTTCTTAGAGGATATATGACTAGCAAAAATTTTTATTGTTTCTACAATAAACAAAAATCACTTGAAGACGCTTTCCCTGTTCAAGAAAGCTAATTTAAAAACATCAAAAAACAAAACTCATGAATGAAGAGTGGTTTGGACACCCTCAATGTAATTACACAGCACCACGGTTGTGGAAGGGGGTCAGGGAGGGACAGGGAGCTGGTGGCAGGAAGTACTACAGGAAGGAAAGTGGATCTGAGAACCCACAGAGCCTTCAGACAACCCAAGAAAATAAAATCCAAGGAACAAAAGCAGGGACAAAGAATGACAATGTCTTAAAAATACAAAGAGGTCAAGGCAGGTTACGCTGGGTCAGTCATAAAACACAAGCTCTGGGCATTTAAGACTGAATGGTAGCCAGGCGGTAGCGCAGGCCTGCAATCCCAGCTACCCGGGAGGCTGAGACAGAAGGATCCCAAGTTCAAGGCCAGCCTGGGCAAAGAGTGGGAAAGAAGGTGGGTAGGGGCAGGCACGGAGTAAATTAAATTCCATGCAGGTCTGATTATGTCCAAAATGAACCCAAATGTCATGTACAACTACAATGCATCAATAAAAGCAGAATAAAATAAAAAGGGTGGGGATGCAGCTCAGTGGTAGAATGCTCCTGGGTTCTATCCCCAGCATCTCTCTCTCTCTCTCTCTCTCTCTCTCTCACACACACACACACACACACACACACACACACACACAAAGAAAGCTGGATGGCAGGGAGCTAGCTCAGCCAGCTGCGATTCCACTTGCATCTGGAGATGCATGCCTGAAACCGTCCACACCATGCCCTCTCCTCTGCTTTCTGCAAGCTGACTGCTTCTCTTACCACCACTTGACTGGAACCAGGTGGCCTGGGCACCCCCTCCCAGGGCTCCCCATTGCTAAACCCAGCCGTGGCTTCTCACTGCTGGTCTTACGGGTCTCTGTGTGCCATGTGATAGCCTCCATTTCCTTCCTAAAACTCTTCTTAGTTCCATGACATTTTTCTCTTCTTCCATCTTTCCATCCACTCTTTTCTCCATCCCCACCTGGTCCTCTTCCCCACTTCAACCAGCAGTGACACTCAAGGTCTCATCCTTACAGTCCTTCTGCCTATTCTAGGTTCCCGACCCTGAAAAATTCTGCTTGTTTTCCTAGTTTCAACACCCTCCTACCCAGAGATGGGTCTCCTAAGCTTTGTCTATATTTGAATTTTCTTCACATGCAAAAGATTCTCTCTGACTTCCACTAACTCACTGACCCTGCTAGACGCTCGGGTCATCCATTAAATGGCTCAAATACCCTGTATTCTTCCAATCCTCCACCACTGCTCTGTGAATTACCTGCCCAACACCCTCCTGGTCCCTGTTCCCCCAGCAAATCTACCTTCTATCCACCTCCTATCTGCTCCTGGAATTGCTTTTCTAAAACAAAGATCTAGTTAGGTTGTCCCCTTTTTTTAATTCTTTGAGGTTCCATGTCCACAGAATCAGGTTCAAATCCTCTGCAAGTTACCCAGGCATCTGAAGCCCCTGCAAACCCGACCAACTCGGTGGGCCCATCTACCACTATAGCCTCCCCTCCAACACCCTCAGCCCCCACCACACACACCTCACCTTCACCCAACCACGCCACTAAATGGCAGTTTCCCATACCTGCCCATGCCCTCTCACACCACCCGCCTTTGCTCAGGCACAACTCACCACCCCTTTCCTTGAATGTCATTTATCCGTTTGCTTGGCAAAATGCCATTTTTTTTTAAGGGTCCAGGTATATTTCCTCCTCTGTTGAGGTTTCTCAATTGCCTCTCACCTGGACAGAATGACACCATTCTGAGGCACATGGCTTATACCTACATTTCCCCACTGACATGTATCACTGCAGGCCTCAGGGTTTTGTCCATAGGAGCACAGGGGTTGGGCCTGATTCTGTTCTGTCTCCATAC